TTTATTTCATATCTTACCATCTGCCATAGGAAATAAATATCGTAACACTTGATTAATCAGGTTATGAAATTTGCTGTATCATTCTACATGTAGTCTCATTTTCAAAAATTATGGCAACTTTTATTGACTTTTCATCGTAAAGTTATAGTAAGGTCGTTACCAAACATGGTTATGGCAAAATTTACTTGTAGCGAGGTTACATCACTGCCTTTTTGTTGTGGGATTAATACAAGTGTTTTTTATTGCACAGACACTGAATATCTGAAATGGTTGTTTCCAAACTATTTGCGAGAGGAACTTTATAAGTGAGTATTTCTATTTTTGTTGTTTTCACAAAACCTACAAAATGCACACTGATTGCATATGGCAGCCATGTTTCATATGTTAGCTGCTCCTCAATGCTGGTATTCCTTTCAACTCAAATTTAAACTATCATGAAGTCTGAGCACTTACATTGTACCAATAGAACCTATAAACTTTTCTGTTTTTTGATTTATTAGTCCTGTCCGACATAGTCCGAAACAGAGAATTGTGTTTTTGGTTCTGTGCTTCCGTCTGCATCCATCAGCATTTCTCAGAGATGCCTGGACAAATTTACTTCAAAGCTCATACAAAGAAAAATCATAATGGAAGACATGCGGCCATTTTGTTTTTTGCGAGTGTACTGCTCATTTTACAGAGTTGATTGGTTTTACAGATTGGGTTTAAATTTGGTACAAAGGCAAGATATAATGGGTTAAATGTTATTGTTTTTTCAAAGTTGGGACATCACAAATAATGATACATGTGAATATCGCTCTGTTTTTGTTGTTTTTTGACCTTCAACTAAAAGCCATTAATTGTCCCAAAATTCAACAGTTGGACATGTCATTAACATTTTCTGGGGCATACATTGACCAATTTCATTCAAACTTAGTCCTTATACCTGTTTCATGCGCATTTGTAGTTAATACATGTATGTTTAATACTAATATTTAAACATAATCTGACTACTGTGGAATACTTTATTTTTGCTTGGAATTAATTTTTGCTATTTTCGCTGAAAGAATGATTCAGTGAAAATAAAATCCAGCGAATATACCTTTTTTCCTATATTTTACATTCAACTCACCAAAAATCAGTGAAAATAAATTCCATACAAAATACCTAAAAAGTCTATTCAGCGAAAATTAATTCCAGCTAAAATAAAATATTCTACAGCATGCTATGCTTCAGTCACTAAAAACATGACAGGGACTATGTCATTTAATGTGTTTTCAAAACTTTCTAAGTTTTCTTTGATCTACTATGCCATTGGCTGCTCAAACTGTACAGCTTTTTAAAAAGTAAATAAATAGCAATATAAAAAACCAATGCTCGAAACATCAAGCTATTTTGAATAGTTACTCAGTCAAAAATACCTACTATGTATGACAGACGTTACGAGTATCTAAAAATGGCTATGTTCATGTTGACGTTTCTCTATCTTCTCTATCAGCTCTCATTTGTGAATAGGTCAAACAAATGTAGGATTTTTTTGCTATTTTATTTTTTGCTTACTCAAGAGAAACATAGTAGAATTATATATTTCTCACACATTCAAAAAAAAGTGTTGAAAATGAAACTATTGATAAAATTACAACGAATATACACATAACATTGTATGTCCCTCATATGCTAATTGTATTGATGTAACAGTGTTCTATTTCACACAAACACCTTGCATTCGCTATGTGACCATTCTTGATATTTGCTCAAATGAGTCAGAATTTTATTCTGAGCAACTGAATTATAATACTGAAAATTTTGCATAAATCATTTTTTTTTATAATCCTGTAGACAACCGTTTAGTCATGTGTGCTATGAACAAAGGATCTGGCTGTATGTCGATCAAACTATGAGATATGTATTTCTATCTTTCATGTTGTTCATGTCTTTCATGTTGTTTTCAGGGTTTGTTATAAAGTCTTTGGTCAGGATGTGTCTGTCTGTAATTATTGGAATGGTAAGCTATTATGTCACTGTAATCACAGCGTTTATATTTTAAGTCTCTGTTCTCAAATCTGCTTTATAAGGGCACTTTGCTGTAGCAAATCTACTTTTCTCAGCTTTCAGAAAAAAAATGCATATTTTGTTCAACACTTTTTTTATTCAGGCCTATAGCTAATTCAAAATTATGGACGTTTGGTAAAAAATTAACTAAGAAATGAATCTAAAAATTAATAAAATATGGGGTTTTAATTTATACAAGCCAGTCTTGAATACCTTTTATTATTATGATTTTCTGTAAAACTGTACTGTAAAACCACTTATTTTCACTGATGTTTAATTTCACTATTTTAATGTTTAGAGTATATTCACTGTGCTTAATCTCAAAAATTTGGCAAGGAAACAATGAGATTTATTGTTATTTTACATGTTCACATAGATTTAATTTAACAGATTTTACTTATCAGCGAAAATAGAAAAATTAAATCACATTGAATAATGAATGCATTTACAGAAAACCCCAAACATGAATAGCCTGTAGTAAGGTTAAATCCTTCTGTCAAGTGAAAATCGACGAAAATATTATTTTGTACTCAGGTATTTTGGCTTCAAAAGAAAGGCATTTGATCCATGCCTTCCACGTGAGATCTCTCAGTGAAAAGGAAAATCATTTATTGCAGGAAATTTTTTATAATTTTTAATATTCCTACATGTTAGTTATAGTTTCAGTTAAACATTTTGAATTTGTTTGCGATTTGAATTCACTCAAATTAATCCTTGCCCCAAACTACTGCAGCCTACAACATTTAAATAAAGGGAACATCAAGCTAAACAACATAATGACCCCTCATAAAAAAGCTCCACAAATGTAGGAGAATGCAATTTACATTTTTTTTTTATATCACTTTTCATTCTCTAGATATTCAACTTTTTATCAATATTATATAGTCAGCCATCTTGATTTTCAAGCAAAGGATTATGGGTAAAGTATGACATCATAGAAATTGTTGTCAGAAAATGATTTCATCTATAACATTTCGTTTTTCAGATCCCCATCACCATGACCTCTATCTTAAATTCAATTCATTTTTACCAGTTCTTAATAACCAAGTGAATGGCAGTGAAGGTGAGTGCACATATAAATTTTGTATAATAGTTAACAAAATTTCCTAAAATTTTCTTAAAATTATTCCTTTCTATTATTGAAAGTCCGAAGAAATTATGAACCTTAGTTGTATTTGTTCTGACTAATTTTCAATTCAAAATGGCCCCAAAATATGGCTTACCGTGGAGAATTGACAAGGTCATCGTTTCCATGGTAACAAGTTCTGGCAGCCCTACTTTTTAATTTGCTATTGAATATCAAGAATGTTAAATATTCTGGATTCAGTTCAAAGCGAACACTGTAGTTCATTTTTTATGCAAAAATTTTAGTTGAACCTGAATTGTCTATATTTAGGTATTTTTTGTAATTTTTATTGATAATTTTGGTCCAAATGAGCATAATTTCCTATTGACTACAGGTTTTGATCAAAATTTTGAAAAAATTATATGAAAATTATTGTAGGTTTTTAAATTTGTGATGCTGTGAAAGTTTACTTTACCGCTCGAATGTTTAAGCATTTGCATAATAAAAGTTAAAAAAGTGAAATGATTTCTATAACAAGATGTCCATCTGTCCTACAATTTAATCCCAGAAATTTACACTTACCTCTTTCAAAGATGTTTACATGCTTGTAATGAAATTACCTATATGTATATTTTTGTAGAATATAAAAAGAATTTCATAAAATTGAAGAATCTAGTATTGATTGGCGGTCCTGATGATGGTGTTATCACTCCATGGCAGTCCAGGTATGAGACATATTAGACTTTCAAAAAAAAGTATTTCTTCTCACCATTATCACACGCATCAGAGGGTAATTAAAAAATAATCAAAAAGGTTTAATTATTCAGTAAATTTACTCAGTGTTTGCATCATCATGTTCGTTGCAAATGTCAAGTTTTATTTGTGTTTATCAGTGCGTGTACGCACACTTTTGCATGAGTTGGGTCATTGATTTCTGTGTCAGTAGTTTCAGTTTGTGAATTTGTCCCACCTATCCTCCCTGTGAGGCTGGTTTCTATGCATTTGCTTGTTACAATAGTTTTCTGAGAGGTTCATCATGTATGTCTTTTTTTTTCTCCATTATGCAGTTCTACTTAACCTTTCTATCACCAGACTTTCTTGCCCAATTTTGTCTGCACTTTTTTCATACATTCTTCAAAATTTTTTTAAAATGAACCCAAATTTTGAAGCCAACAGAAAAATTTGTGTAAATTTTACAGTTTTTATTTTAAAAATTTGGCTATTTTTCTCCAACTCTTTTAAAGTGCACACTATAAATGGCACTATTTTGTGAATTTGTGATGAAAAGAGAGAACTGGTGGTGAAAAGGTTAATTTTGGACATGTTTTTATTTATTTATTTACTTTTTTCCTGAGTACAGACAAGGATGTCTGTAAACCACTGCTATCCTTAGCTATGTTGTAAGCATTACATTCCTATTTTACCCGCCAAAACTCTTGTGTTTCAGAGGATATTTTGTTGATTTAAAATAACCTTTAATGCATGTGTTCTAGCTGCTAAATGTTGAACATTTATCTTCTTGTTGTGGTAGTGAATAATCTTAAAGCGGGGGAGTCGTCACCTGCGCATGCATCAGATGGCCATAGCGTGTCATTGTTTACAAACAAGCATCTACTCATGAGCCTTTGTGCTTTTAGCGTGTGTTGTTATCGTCACTTGGAACTCAATTCCAGGGTGTGCGTAGGTGACGATCCTCCCACTTTAATACAAAATTTTTAATTTTCGGACATCAAAGAGAGAAATGCACACTTTTGGTTCACATGTTGTTTGCTAAAAAACCTGCAAGGAAAGCCAATATAAACAGTATATAACAGTGCGAGCAGGCGATGTGTTGACATCTAAAAGTTCGACGGGGTGTGTCGAACTATGTCTGTGAGATTCTGACCAAAAGTAACTTTCCCATTTAGAGACCTGTATATCCTGTTTCTTTTCATTGTGTAAAAAATCTAATGTCACATGACAATACTTAAGACGGAGAATGAAACAAATACATTTAACTTTCTTTTTAATAATTTTATTTCAGCCATTTTGGTTTCTACGATAGTAGTGAGAAGGTTATAGAAATGACTTCACAGCAGGTATGTTGTCATGTCGTCTGATTAGTTGAAGATGCCTTCTGTATCAATCATGTCTCAGTTATGTCTTTTGATATTTGTTGTTAATGTCAACATAAGTGGACATGTCTGAACATCACTTTGCAATGATGAATTACCATATTACATGCATGTTGTCTGTGTATTGATTTCTTTAATGTCACAGTAATTTTATCCACATATACAACAATAATTGCCCCCTCCCCAGCAAAGGTGGCTTCTGTGTATTGCCATCCCCAGCAAAGGTGGCCTCTGTGTATTGCCCTCTCAGTGAAGGTGGCTTCTGTGTATTGCCCTCTCAGAAAAGGTGGCTTCTGTGTATTGCCCTCTCAGCAAAGGTGGCTTCTGTGTATTGCCATCCCCATGCAGCAAAGGTGGCTTCTGTGTATTGCCCTCCCCAGCAAAGGTGGCTTCTGTGTATTGCCCTCCCCAGCAAAGGTGGCTTCTGTGTATTGCCATCCCCATGCAGCAAAGGTGGCTTCTGTGTATTGCCCTCTCAGCAAAGGTGGCTTCTGTGTATTGCCCTCTCAGCAAAGGTGGCTTCTGTGTATTGCCCTCTCAGCAAAGGTGGCTTCTGTGTATTGCCCTCCCCAGAAAAGGTGGCTTCTGTGTATTGCCCTCTCAGCAAAGGTGACTTCTGTGTATTGCCCTCTCAGCAAAGGTGGCTTCTGTGTATTGCCATCCCCATGCAGCAAAGGTGGCTTCTGTGTATTGCCCTCTCAGCGAAGGTGGCTTCTGTGTATTGCCATCCCCAGCGAAGGTGGCTTCTGTGTATTGCCATCCCCATGCAGCAAAGGTGGCTTCTGTGTATTGCCCTCTCAGCAAAGGTGGCTTCTGTGTATTGCCCTCTCAGCAAAGGTGGCTTCTGTGTATTGCCCTCCCCATGCAGCAAAGATTGCTTCTGTGTATTAGCCTCTCAGCAAAGATGGCTTCTGTGTATTGCCCTCTCAGCAAAGGTACGTGGCTTCTGTGTATTTTGACCTCCCCAGCGAAGGTGGCTTCTGTGTATTGCCCTCTCAGCAAAGGTGGCTTCTGTGTATTGCCATCCCCATGCAGCAAAGGTGGCTTCTGTGTATTGCCCTCCCCAGCAAAGGTTGCTTCTGTGTATTGCCCTCTCAGCAAAGGTGGCTTCTGTGTATTGCCCTCCCCATGCAGCAAAGATTGCTTCTGTGTCTTAACCTCTCAGCAAAGGTGGCTTCTGTGTATTGCCCTCCCAGCAAGGGTGACTTCTATGTATTGCCCTCCCAGCAAAGGTGGCTTCTATGTATTTTAATTTCTACCAATTGGCTATCCCAGAAAGGTTGGAATCTGGATATGCTAAGTAATATGCTCAGTAGATAAATTTAAAATTTAATTAAAAAAAAGTATGGTCACTAATAATTTTAATTTTCTCATTTTTTCAGGTATTTAAGAATGATACGTTTGGTTTACGGACATTAAGTGAACGAGGTGCGATAACAACCTACTCTATTGCAGGTGTAGAGCACACAACATGGCACAAGAATTTAACTGTATTCAATAAAGCTATAAAACCATGGTTAACATGATATTTATATTCTAATAAAATCCTGGGTAACATGATATTACACTATAAGTATAATAAAACCATGGCTGATGTGATAATGCCTTATAATAAAACCCTGATTAAAATATATTTTAAGTTTAATAAACGCTGAATAATGTTATGTTACACTGTAATAAAACCCTGATTAACATATATTTTAAGTGTAATAAAACCCTGGCTAATGTGATAACACCCTGTAATAAAACCCTAATTGACATATTTGATATATATTTTTAGTGTAATAAAACCCTGGCAAATTTGTTGCAGTGCATTAAATATATAACACTGATGATTTCCAGGTTCTAATAGTACAGTGTGTAATGTAAAACAGAAAAAAACAACAGTTTCGTTTTCTGGTTCCAAAAGACACTTTTTTTTTCTTATTTTTTTAAATTGCAGTGAAAATTCTTTTTTTCTTTCATTTTTTATATATTTTGACAAAATTAGGTGATTTGCAAACTTTTCAAACTCTTATTTATTGATTAAGGTTTTGATCTAAAAAATCTTTGTGGCTATGTATGTATTTTATTCATTTCCTTAACTTAGTGTTAGATTTCATTTTTTCACAATGATATTTCTGTATAGTATAGGTGTGTATACATGTTTTCTGTATTTTTATTTATTTATTTATTTTTCCAGGAGCATAAAATTTCAAATGAAATCAGTTTAAATATTATAAACTAACTATCGCTTTTCATTTGTAAAACCATCTCTTAGTGGTCAGGCTTACTAAACCAATCAAAATGTATGTTAAAAACTACTCTATTGTGGCTGACTGTGTAAAATTTTTTTACAGAATCTTTGATTTTATACATTTTTTTTTTTTCAAACTTGAGATGGAATCTTTCATTACTTGTTGTTTGTTTTTAATATTTCTTTTTTTTGATTAATGAAAATTTCATTTCTTGTGTAAATATATAGGACAGTAGATGTTTCCAGCTATCATACAGGTCAAAGCTCAAAGTTCAGCATTGATCATTTATCAAATGAACTTCTTTCCACTTACAGTATCATATCATATTACTGACCATATATGGAATTAATTCTAGACAGTATGAAATATCCCATAATATTACCAGCCATATATGGAATGAACTTTTTGATACTGTCAGACAATGTGTCATATCCCATAATAATACTGGCCATATATGGAATGCACTTCTTGACACTTCCAGGCAGTGATATATCCCATATTAATACTGGCCATATAAGGAATGAACTTCTTGACACTTCCAGTCAGTGTGTCATATCCCATAATATTACTGACTATATATGGAATGAAAATTTCTGGGTAATGAATTTTTAATTTTAGTTGCGTATATATTATGATCGGTAACGGTGCTATTGCATTATGCAAATAACTTCAGAATAAATGATGTGTCATGTATAAAATATCAAGGATTTATAAGATGCATATGCAATGTATTCAGGTGATATGTAATAAAGGTCCCATTTCTCACGAGCTCCACACAAGTGTGCAGTTCACATGCTCGGACCAATAAAGTAACAAAATGTCGTAGACACTTCTTGATGATTATGGAAAGATTAAATTCATTGAAACAAAAACTAGTAGGATTATTAAAAATGACGAAAACATTAAGTATGCCAAGACATTTAACCAGTTCCCTCTTTTCTTTTTTTTTGAGTAAAATCTTAAAAATGAGTTCATTTTCATCACCTATCAAGTTGCATACCCTCAAACCATAAATCCTTGATAGTTTACATAATATACACAAGGGAGCTGGCAATTAGCTATATACTGCCATTTTTACTTCAAATTTACATCTTTTCTTGGGTACGCTGTGTTCTGAATACATGACATTTTTTATCTTTGTATAAATAAAGCGCTTCCATTGAATGTTGTGAATTACTTGTGCCTTTTGTTCACTTTGTTTGTACGTCTGTACTAAATAAAGTTGCACTCTGAGCATTTATAAAGCTGTATTAACCTTTTCACCACCAGATCACTCTTTTCACAAATTCACAAAATAGTCCTGTTTATAGTCTGCACTTTCGTTCAGAAGACGGACAAAAATAACCACATTTTTGGATTAAAAACTGAAAATTAATTAAAATTTTGTCTGCTGGCTCTAAAATTAGGGTTCATTTTCAGAAATATTTAAGAATATAAGAAAAAAGTGCAGAAAAATTTGGATGAGAAAGTCTGGTGGTAGAAAGGTTAAGATATATTAGGATATTATGTGAAATATTTAATACTCTGAATCATGGGAAATATGAAATTACATATTCAAATGCTTTTCAGCACGTTTGGACATAACTGATCCCGGGCTATGTGTGAAATCAAACAGCAAAAGGACAAACAAAGGTCTTTTTTGTTGTTGAGGGACTGTGCTTCAAACTATTTGACAAATGCCAAAATATTTCTAAGGACATTTCCACATTAGATAATGTGCTATACACATTTAATGATGGTCAGTTTTAATGTAGTAAGGATATCTCATTGCAATATTTCCCCCTCAAAGATTAACATTCGGACATTGAGCTATAAAAATGAAATTCAAGTTCAAAATCATAATCAAAATCAGACGTTTGGTTTGCATGTTTCACGCAGTACAGTGAATGAAATATCACTTATTGTTTCAGGGTTACCAATGGCCTTGAATTGTTTGGTTTTTGAAATAGCTGTGAAACAAAGAACTAACATTCAAATTAAGCTAATTAATTTGCAATATACACTTTGCCATTGTAACATAGTATATTGCTATATGTATGAATTAGCATCATCCATTGGAACAGAA